GATAATTACTATACTATAATGTTTTTCACAAAATATATTTATCCATTCACGTTCACTAAATTTTTTAAAATAATTTGGATGATTAGTCTTAAAATAATCTTCTAATTCATATTTAAATTCATCAAACTTAGATTATATTTTTCTTAGAAATGTCTTTTACATACAGTAGTATCACAAGTTAAATGATGTCAATTCAGAGATTAATAGGATATCCAAATGATATCCTATTGATTTCCAATTTTTTTTTATTAGTGATCATTCAGTATGTACTAAATAATGCCAAATGATAGCTCATAATCAGAACCCATTAAGAAGTCATTCAGTGTGAGATAATTTTGACATCAATCGGTATATAATTCAATATACTGAATGATTACTTTTTTTTCTATTGTTAACAATCATTAGTATATACTATTTATAAATAATTTGTTATTGAATGATATTAAAAAGCAATTACTCAATAAATTTATTATATGATAAGTACTACTATATTATATGTATAATTATATATCGTTTACATTCATTATAACAATAGAAACTATAGAAAAAGGATGAATATAGACTGCATCACAGAAAAGATGGATATCAATAAAGAAAGAAGATATGAGAATTTGAAAAGTACTAATACAAGGAGTAAATAATTAAATGATTAAAAAAGTCAAAACTGAAAAAAATATAGATATAACAATCAACTCATACATTACTTATTCATTGTCAGAAGAGTATCTTGAAGTTGCTTTACCTGATTCATTTCAGAGCATGGGTGGATCACTAAATTGTATAGGAATAGTTCAATTTGATAGCTATACAGAAATGGTCAGACGAGATAGTTGTATATCAGAATACCATTTGCTACAAGATTCATCAACGCATTGTTTCAAGTATCCATTATATTCAACAATAGTCCATACGAGAGTCCTGAACAGAATTCATTTTCGTGATCGAGTAGCCTTAGACATTTCTTCAAATATTCTATCAACATAATCTCGTAAGAATTTATGAGCCTAAAAATGATTAGTAAATATCGATTGATATAAACCAAACAGTAATAATAATAATAATAATAATAAATTTACTATTAATAAACATCAACTAAGGTCTTTGATTCAAATTATTCTTTCATTATTTGGATGATCTAGATCAGTTTCGCTATCTTCATATAAATGATATTTGTTATCATTCATAATGGGAAAAAGTTTAATGGATCCTCTCTTTTTGTGGCTGTTCGATTACTTTAATTCGACGTAACCTTTTCTGCAATCGTATAAAATAATAATTAGTAATGAAATAAATATAATTAAACTATCAGTTGATCACTTACTTCTCTGACACGTGCATTTTTGTGATGACATCATAATTGTTGGTCTTATTCTTCGTCAGTTTTTTATTGTAGGAGATACGATTCTCTTTGATGTCGGTGATGTTCATGTATTATTTCGTATAAAATGTTATCTTTGACTGAAAACGTACTTTGGTCAATACTTGCTTGAACGGTCAGAATGATTGTCCCATTCACTAAATTATGCTGTGATTTGAACATTTTTTCACATTCAATCGACAATCTTTCGATATTGCTTCAATAATCCTAAATACTTTTCTCTAAACAATTTAAATTTATACCAGTTACTAAGAATGTGAATAGATATATGGAAAATAATATTTGTTACCCTTAATGCTGTCAAAAGCTTCTTATCCATATCTGAAGTATATAAATATCTTGATGTTTTTTGACGACTTAGTGGATCAGAACTTCCTGAACTTATGCTACTTATTGACTTGAAACGGCGATGCCTTTTTTTTTACATTTTAGTATACCCTTTTGTATATAGTTACGTTTCTTATCCCTTTTTAGTATATATGTTTTTTTTTATTGGAACATCTGAACTATCCGAGCTAAGAATAATCACCTCATCAGAGCTATTACCGGTAGAACGTGAACAAATATTAGATGATTTGGTTCTAGATGGATTGGATAGATCAGCCACTCTGTAGCTTTCAGAATAACTTTTATAACCTGGCTGAACTTTTGTGGTAATAATATCATCCTTCTTATCTAATGTTATATCTTTCAGATCAATTAATATTATATCTTTCAGATCCACTTTACGCATCTTCCCCTTGATGACAGCTTCCAACATTTTCTTTAAATATTTGACTTGTAAATCAAAAGCATGTTGTTCTAGAATTAAGAAAAAAAAGGAAGATAAATAGGGAAAAAAAGTACATATAGATCGGAAAGATGCATTGTCGATTATTAAATAAATTAATCATTATGCTGATTAATACCTGATTCGACTTTCTTTCCCTTTCTATTAGTTCATCTCCCTGTGATTTGAGATCATCTGATATATCATCTTGATTTTTGAACTTCTTCCCATAGAACCTCTTTCACTTTCTAAACCTTTTCCCTTTAGACCTCTTTCATTCTCTCAACTTCTTTTCTTAGAACATTTTTCAGTATTTGAGCTCCTTTCTTTTAGACTTCTTTTGCTTTCTGAACTTCTTCCTTTGAAACTTCAATGTCTGAATCTGATGATTCAGATGGAAAACTATGACAATATTGGTAACAATATAGGTAATAATATAATTTTTATAAAATATTCAGAATATTCATATTTTCTTTGAATATAATAAATCAACAAATACTAATAATAAAATATATTACCAATTATACTTTGAGTTTTTCTTATAAAGATGCGACTGACACTTTCTGTCTTTGCTTTGTGACTTATCACATCATCTTAAACGTGAGTGATAATGCATTAAGTACATGTTATTATATAAAAAATCTTAGAGAGAAAAGATCCAGAAATAATGGTTTAATTGACTTTACTTTTATTTTAATTGATTGATTGATTGATAATAATTTTACTTTTTTTTTATTTTTTTTATGATAATTTTACTTTTATAATCTATAGTTTATTTAATGTACTGATTTGAAAAGTTTAATAAAAATTTGTAATTAAATTAAGCACGTTAATAAAAATTCTTTTTCCTTATCAATATTATCATATTAAGAATACCTAAACATACAGTAAGAAGCTTTAATAAATAAACTCAAATAAAAAAAATCAACTGGTAAAATTGGCAATATCAAGACAACTGGTTGAATGTAACTGTGAGAAATGTAATAGTAAAGAGGTCGACTTAAGAATGAAAAAAAGGCATATTAAATTAGAAAAACAGCTTAAAAACTGTCTCGCCAGACAAAATTGACCTGTTAAAAAGCATAAATTTGAAAAAATCTGAATTGTGAAAACACTTCAAAATGTAAAATCGTCAGCATTTTCTAAGAGAAAGACTCTGTTAACCTCCAGTTCATCTTCGTCTGGTTTATCTAATGATGATGGTAATAAGGGAAAAAATCAGAAATCAGAGAAACCAAGATCTAGAAAAAGACATGATCAATTTTGTAATACGGATATTTTTGAAATAAACTAGGATGAAGAATACGATCAATTGTCTAGTTCTTCAAGTAAAAAAAAATGGATCTATTAATCAGCTGATAATGAAAGACTAATACTTGAAGAAAAAGAGCCGATTGATAATGAAAAATTTTATTTGAATAAGGATGAAGAGGTTCCTTATGATTATTTTTCTGCTCTAAATTTAAATGATATTGATACCAATCTGGATTTTGAACATATTAATAAGTCTGCTAACTTTGACGATCTGTGGATTCTTCTTTGGATTTTTAAATATCAAAAAAGATTTCACCTTTCTAACGTAGCAATTAATTCATTAATCAAATTTTTTCGTATTGTTTTACTCAATACTAATTTAAGGAGGTTTACAAAATTCCCTACTTAAGCATATATGGCAAGAAAATTGCTTAAAATCAAAGGGAAGACAAAAGTGTTCACAATATCCTGACTACAATAAATTACATAACATAGAAAATAATAGATAGGACAGATTTAAATATGATCATATCAAGTTTCCAATGCATCTAATACAAAATTGACGTGAAGCTTGTAGGACGAAAATATTGAAAAAATTCCAACTGTAAAAGGACACATCTGGCGTCCAAAGCTTGTATTTTCCCTATCTAGCTTAAAAGACCAATTTGCTACTATGTATCAACGTTCAGGATTTGAGTAGCAACTTCTAAAATGGACAAATCGGAATATGGCAATGAATTAATGTCTGATGTATATGAGGGAAGAATCTGGAAAACATTTCTTTCTTCTCTCAAAGATCAAACTTCCCAGTTTTTTATACCAGAAACTGCAGATTCTCATTTGGGAATCATAATTAACCTCAATTGGTTTCAACCTTTCAAATCTTCTATATACAGCACTGGTATAATTTATGGAGTAATTTGCAACCTTTCGCATGATGTAAGATTTAAAAAGAAAAATATGTTAACTCTTGGTCTTTTATGTGGATCCAAAGAACTGAAAAAGCATCACATTAACCATTTCCTAGCTCTAATTATAGATGAATTACTAGAATTATGGAATGGGTACAACTTACCGATTTCGATCAAGTTTCTTAATGGAAAGAGAATTTGGTTAGCAATCATTTGTTGTTCAAATAATATTCCAGCTGCCAGAAAACTATGTGAACATATATCAGTAGTTGCAGCTTGTCACAGATATTATAAGATAGCTAGTAGTGATAAAAGGGAAAAACCTAATTTTAGTAGCTTTGATGACATGAACAATTGGTTTAGACAAAGAAATTTAAAAGAACATCTAGAAAATGCAATATTTTAGTTGCATTGTAAAATGAAAGAAAAAAGAAGGCAACACATTTCATCTATTTTAGTTAGATAGTTTGAAATATTACGTTTGCTTTACTATGATCCTATTAGGCATTTAATAGTTGACCTAATGCACTGTTTGTTTCTCGATATAGCCCAATAGATAGTAAAAAGGCTGTGGATTAACGGTGGTAAAATTACAAGATCTCAGCTTGAAGAAATAGAAAAGGAGGTAAAACAGTTCAAATTACCTGTGGACGTGGAAAGAATACCTTATAAAATAGCAACTGGTGAGAGATTCTCAGAATATACAGCCAATTAGTAAAAAACATTCATAATTATTTATGCGACACTAATTATGAGATTTTTTGGATGAATATAATCAGAGAATTTTGGTAAATTTTGTTCAAGCCTGTTTTTTATTAACAATATGCATTATTGATAATAATGCATTAGATGAAGCCCGCTCCTAGTTGCTGATGGTCACTCGTTTTGTAGAAGAGAATTATGGTCTGGCTGTGATAACACTGAACATTCATCTCTCCCTTCATATTACAGAATGCTGCTGGAATTATGGTCCACTTCACTCATTCTAGTGTTATTCATTTGAGAGAATGAACGGAATATTAGGTAAATAGCTATACACTGATTTTTTTCCAAACAAAGTTATAATATTAATAAATTGTTAACATTTGCTTTAGGGTCTTTACCTAATAGTAGTCGTAATATCGAGCCAGAATTATTACGTATAATAATGCAGAATTAGCGATTGGATAATTTGATTTCAAATTGGATAGATGATTCAAAACTAGCAGAATGTTTGAATTTGGTCAAATCGTGACCAACTATGAGGAGTTTAGCAACTTATGATGAATTTGAATTCAATGAGTTGCTTCGAATCTTAAATATTTATCATCTCAAAATTGATGATACAATAATAGGCAGAGAGCTGTTTCCTGAAATCATGCTCACTCCTACTAAATTGGATGTAACTCTACCAGAAAAAGTTTACGAAATACTTGTAGATTACTACAATAACGCATATGAAGCAAATGAACTGAATTTCATATCAGTTACTGATTTAGCTAGAAGTGGAATAAATAGGAAATCAATTCGACTAATTGTTATTTTGCCTAATGTAAACCAATTTGGCCATATCCGTATTGGTGCTAAAATTTTTGGGTCAACTTTAGTACCTCGATATGCAAAGAATTCACATATTTTGGCAAAATTTGTTTAAAATAATAATGTTGTAAATACATTTGCAAGACAGGCCCAATATTATTTCGAACATAAAATTAACCTTTCAGATGGTGCAAAAACCCATTATTTGGTTTTTGTTAAATGGTATTTACCAGTTCAGAGACAACAAATAAGATTTCATTTCTGAATTGAAACTAACGATGATCGCAATTGTAATGTTAAACTGTAAGAAAAAACTTTTTACAGGATCATTAAAGATAGTAGAGATTGTATAATACTAGTTTATAATATTTATTGCAGATTTATCTCAGTAATTTTACCGTAGGAGTAAGAAATCCATTAATTATATGGCAGTTATTCCAATTAATAGACATTTTTATATGTAATAAATAACATTTGTCATAATAATAAAGAAATACCTAAAAATAATAAATCAGTTTACTCAATCGAAGCATTTGATATTATTCAGGAATAATTTTATATCATTCAGTAAAAAAACTGATTGGTTACCAATTTATAATACATGTTAATTATAACTAATTATTATCAGATAATCAAAAAGTAGTAAATCAGCATATATCCTGAATGATCATCATTTGACCTGTGAAAGTATCTAATCCCTTCAAAATCTCTAACAAATTATTAAAGAAACTTGATCTAAAATAAACTTTAAATATTATCTATTATGTATGTTGATTAACTCACAATAATGGATGAATTCAATATTTGATCTTAATATAGTTTATAAAATAATGTTATATAGTGCAAAATGGTTTACTTAATTAAAATTATAACTATTATCTAATTTTACATCAAAGTTAATAAATTGAAGTTGCTCCTTTTATATATCTATCATTAAATCATCATCACAACCTATAAACTTTATCATTTTAATAACTAATCTCTCATTTATTGCTATTTAGTTAAACCAATACATAACCTACATTTTGGACAAAATTATTAAAATAAAAAGCTCTATTATTTATACATAGTATTCCTTAATAGATAATCTAATTATTATTAATCACTAATTTTTTCTTGTATCAGATATAATCTTTTTGATTCTATAGTATTTATTCTATATAAATAACAATAAAGATACTATTTTTATGCTATATAACTATTATCATATTATTGTGCTCTAATAAAATATTTTATAAATCTCATGATAGACTATAGTGTAGTCTTCTACACTTTATATTTTAAGAAGTGATTATAGATGCCTGCTGAAACCTTCTCAAAATAATTTCATCATATTCTTTTCTATATTTTTAATATAGTTTCAATAGTTTTAGCTTTCGTCGTATTGAAAGGGTTTTGTCATATCCCTTATTATGATTTTAATATAGTTTCATCTAAGTTTCGAATGTTATTAAAGAGTTTCGTCTCTCATCATTAGAAGTAATATTATAAATATTAACTTCTCCATATTAATATCTAATTAAACTAATATTTAATCTAACTGTTTTTCATTTAATACTTTGTTTATTTCTAAATTAGATGATTTAAAAGCTTAATTTATTAATATACAATTTTTTTTAATTTTATATAGATGATTCTCTTATATTTTTAGATTTTCAAATTGCCAAATAGAAATAGTTTAGTTATAAATTAATCAGAATTGATCATTACTTTTCTTTAATGTTATTCTTATATTCTACTTCTCTTCTTTTACTTTAACAGAAATTATTATCATCTTTTCTGCTTTTTATACTTTATCTTTCAATGTCAACATTAAAATCTATATAGACTCATAAGTTATGATAGTTTTATATTATAAAATCTTTAGATTATATATGGAATCTCTTCCTTGAATCCTATATTTAAAATTTTTTACTTCTATATTTAGATAATAATGTTATATTTAATTGCTTTTAAACATCTTAACGTAATATTTTTAAAAGTTAAAATGACTAGTATAATAATAAGGTTGACCTTCTTGCCAAATAATAAAACACCTATCTTCTTAGTATCATTTATAATCATCTCAGACTTAAATACATTTTTGTTATAATTTAATACCTATTATTATACTACTTTGCTTATATATTAAAAGTATATAATAAGCTTTTTAGGCAGAAGCTTTTCTAGCTTTATTTTAATTTTCCATCATTATATTAATTGGCAAATCCTATTTTATGTATTAAATGATTTAGAGAATACTAAACTAACATTTTCTGATGCTTTTAAAAGAAAATAATTTAAAATTAAATTAGTTCTGCAACTTCTTCTTACATTAAAAATCATTAAATGTATAATATTCTTATATTTATATATCATTTATATATTTTAATTATAATTTTACAAATAAAGATTTTATTTATATTTAGCTCTATGCAAGTAATTTACCTTTTTTGTCAAATATAATTTGATAATATAAATAAATATTCATGTCTTATTTAAGAGATCTCAACTAATTTAATAATAATATACCTTTAGATTATATTAAACAATTAACAATTTAGTCACTAAGCCAATTATATATTAATTTATATTTTACTAATTTATTAAAAAGAATTGTTTCTTCATCTTTCGTTGCATCAGTTAACTTTATCACTTTAAATAAACTGCTCTCTTTAAACTTCTTTTTATCCTTCTTTGATAATATCTTCAATTCTATTCACAATATATGAAGAAAAATATGTGAATACTTATAAAAATAAAAAAATTTAAATAATATCAAGAATGATTTCAATGCTACTTGAATTTTCTCAGGCTTTTTCTATACTTCACAAATACCTTTTATTAATTCTTAATTTTTTTTAGCAGCTGTTACTTATGATACTCACTAGTCAAATTTCTAGTACAGATATAACTATATTTTTTCTTTTAGATAGTTGTTACCTATATCTTAGTTTAGTCTAATTTTTCCTTTCTTCTCTAATATATAATTTAGTTCAGAAAGTAAAAGGTTAGTATTAATAAAGTAATTTAGTTTCTTAAATTAATTTATAGATATTTTGTATTTTCTATCTTATTTTAATTTACTTGTAAATTTTTAAATATTAATAAAGATCATGCAAGAATGCTATATTTTTTAAAAAAAAATCATTTTTGCATATCATATTTAGATATAATAATATATCAAATTTATAAAATTAAATATATTACTTTATGTTTTATTTACCTATAGAATTATTATAAAAATATGTGTATCTAAACTTAGAAAAAATAATATATATTTCAATCTTAT